CGGGTCGACAAAGCGTCATTAGCATGTCAGAGGCATTTCGTTAGTACTCGCTTCTCTGCGTAACAGCTGCTAGTCTGGCAAATGACTCAATTCATGTGGATGTGCGTCCATGTTTATGCACGTGTGTATAAACAAAGGAAGAAGCGAACAGAAGGTTTCATCAAAAACACCAAAAGTGTGTGTGTGTGTGTGTGCACGTGTGTGCGTGTGCTGTGCATCATGTGCTCACTTTGATGATTGAGAAAATCTCCATCAGCATCTTGCTCTGGAGCGTATATGTGTGTGTGTGTGTGTGTGTGTGTGTGTGTGTGTGTGTGTGTGGAGTGTGTTTGTGTGCCGTTGTTTGTGTGTGATTGCATAAACATGGTGACAGAGTGACGAGATGTTCTCTCCATCCATCTGTTTTGCTGGCATTTACATCTTCAGAGGGCGGCAATAGAGGAGAGATAGAAAGAGAGGGACAGGGAGCACAAGAAGGACAGGGATAAACAGTTGAGTGGAGAGATTTTTACAATGATGTTGATTTTGTCTGCTAGTCAGAAGAGCAATAACACACTACTGGGTCACCTGTGGTGCTCTAAGGCCTGTTTCTGATGTGATCTTTTGCCATGTCTGATGGTTTCTAAGAATCTGAGAGAGGATGTGTGAGAGTGAATCTGCAGTGAGTCTTCCTGTGGATGTGGTTGTGAGACTCTGAGTGTGTATGCGTGCCTTTGTGGAGTGTGTGTTGGAGAGACAGAGAGATCTCATTGTTCTGTTCCTCCTTATCTGCCGTCTCAGTGGAGAGAACGTGCTGTTTCCCCCCTCAGCGATGTGACCCGGCTGTGATACCTCACGCCCTCGTCTCGGTAGATAACAGACCACCCTAAAAATATTCCTCTTCCTACCACGCTAACACTCTTCCCCTCTGTTCTCCTCACCTCTTCTGGCTCACTGTATCCTCCGGAGTCTCCCTGGCCAAGAGTAAGCTCTGCCTCACTGAAATACCTCTGGGCGCTTCCTAATGTCACAGAGGTCCTTTAATTCTATATTTTCCCCTCTTTTCGTCTTCTACTACTCATTCTGTTGGAGGGCGTGGATGTTACAGTGTCGGCTTGAACAGCAGAAGTGCAACTCTGACTGTTACATCACAAGTTTTCTTATCATTTTCCACAATAATTCCTCATCCCCCCCGCAGCTACTTCAGTCACCCACACTCTGGACACACAGGGCAGATGGGATGTAGGAGGAGACGGTGAGGACAGATTCTGCCGGGCTCACATAATTATACATCAAGTAATTTACCATAACTCTTCAATAAAATATTGAAGAGGGCATTGTTTTCCGTGCCTCACGGGTTTGACAGTCTGGAACGATGCTAATTATGATAAACTAGGCATTTTTTTTGAAGATCATGCCACAGCCAAGTGCTTTGAGAGCTTTTTCATCTCTCTGCTGCCTTCCTTGCTGCCTAAACTCTCCTCTGTTGTGAAGTGCTTTTAAGGATACTGACAATTACCCTTTCTGTAGTTTTTGAGGAAGTTTCTTGCTAATTTAAAACGCTTTGATTCCTAGCCCCTTTGCCACAGTTGACATTCGGGGTTAGAAAGCTGTCGTTTTTGTTCTCTTTGTGTGTGCCTGTGTGTATGTGTGCGCATCCTCGCCTTTCTTTTGGCCCAAACCCACGCAGGTGACCAGAGGGGTCCTTGTGTGGGTGGACAACTCAATGGTGACCCCCTCTCTTTACCCTCATCCTCCCTCCCCTCCCATTCCCTCTTTTCTTGCCCTCCGTCCACGAGCATGATTCCAAAAAGAAGGAGAGGGACCCAGGAGGAGAAAAGGTCTGTTTCACACTCACCCTCAAGCAAACACACTGGCCAAAATGTTGCTTTTGCCAAACAGCATAATAACAAGAAAATGCTATTAGAATTCATGTTTGCCTTTGAGTGTAGTAGTAGCTTCTGTAAAGATGAGAGACAAGAGAGAAGGTTGTAAGGAGTTTCTTGTGAAGTAGTGCTGAAACAATTACTTTATTAATGGCTTAATCAGTAAACAGAACATGACTATTTTAATAAGGGATTAACTGTTAAAGCTGCACTGATCAATATTTTTCTATTAACAATGGGTCAAATGACTACCTCTGATGTGAAAGGAGTCACTATTAGCGACAAAATGATAGAGAATTATCACCCAACTCTGCAGCTCCCCTCAGCCCTACGGAGTGTTTTGAATGAATGCTAATGAGGCTTTGTGTCTGCTGGATCTGTAATAGCCAAGTATTTGCGACCACTTAAGCCAATCACGTTGATAAGGTGATAATTTGTCAATGTTGTGTTTACAGCTTGTTACACTGCTCAAAGTGCCCCAATACAATCTGTTGCTGCTTTAAGTCATTTATGAAGTTTATAAAATAACAAACATTTTCCGCATTAGGCTTCTCAGATTTTAACTTTTCCGAGCTTTTTGTTGTATTTGTAAATGCGTGATATGTAAATGAAATACATTATTGACATTTTTTGGACTGAATGATTTAGGACTGCAACTTATATTTATTTTCATCACTGGTTAATCTGCCAGTTAATTTCCAAGGTGACATTTTCAGATAAGACAAAACAGAGAAAAGAGTTAACCGAGAGTGAATTCTTAAAAAATAAAGGATTAATAGATTATCAAAATAATTTCTAATTAGGTTTCTGTTGCTCGACTAGTCAATAAATGAACCAACAGTTTTGGCTCAAAAATGAATAATCGCATGATCAAAAAACAAACTCAAGTAAATGAATCAATAATGAGAATAATCATTTGAAGTAGTGCTATAACCTCTCAGGAACGTGTGTGTCTGTGTGTGTGTTTGTGAGTCTTTCCTTTAGAAAGCTGGGATGATGATAAGAGCCTGTGTTTTATGGAGGATTAGCAGGGATTAGGCTGTCAAACCAGGCGATTGTCCAGTTTATCACATTACCTTTCCCTTTAACAGAAGTTGCAATAGGTCACACAGGCATCTGCATTAACACACAGAAAAAGGATAAATTAGAAGGATATAAACTGCCCCTGAACTTGTGAAAACGCGGCCACACACTGTGTTTATGACATGATTTGTGCTTAGTATTCGAAGTAGTACTCCCAAAGTATCACTGTTAAATTTACTGCTTCTCCGCTGCTGAATGACTTTCGTGTATAGCAGTGGTGAGACCATCTTATTTTACAGTTTGAGAAATAAAATGATTGATTTGCATTTCATATCTGACTACCAATCCTTATTGTTATGACAGATATTCAGGTTGTGTGGGACATTCACATCACATCCATTTATCATGTCTTGCTTGACATCCATCAGTGGCCCATACTAACACTGTGGGTGAAGGTAGAAAAAACTGCTGTTGGACGCCATCAAACGTGGCATGAGCTTGTCTGATGTGCTAAATTGAGATGTGTGGGCCTGACTGCCAAATGGAAGGACAGAGGAGGTTTCAAGGAGGGCTGAAGTTGGGCAAGTCATAATGAGAACATAATGAGTCATGATCTGACACGAAATGACAAAGGTCAGAACAGTCAGAACTAATTTAGGCATCCTAGATCAGACAAGGTGATTTCTAGGCTGTAACAGACAAAAACTATACTGAGTAAGTGTAACGACCTAAGCTTAATATTGGTACAGAGGACATAAATATTGTGATCTAACAGAAATATATTAGCTCAGAAAAAAATTATAAAGCAATCAGGGTGTGTTTCCTTATTTCCCATAGAATGAAATACATATAGCAAAAGCAAATTTTCCATTCAGCTCACTTCTGCATTAATTTTGAGGAAGAAAGAGTCATTTCAGTCAGCGTCTGGGGGCGCAGGAGCTGAAAAATCAATACATTTCTGGCATATACACACCTATTAATTACTAATTAATAACCTACACTTCATGTGCTGAGACTTTGAAGACTCATTCAACTGGCAGCATGGTCTCCATGCTATGACAGTAAGCATCTGTGTTTCTGAAGTGGCAAGACAAACTGAATCCCCATCAGCTATAGTGGCCGTAATCTGTTGCTAACCTTCACACTCTCAATTTGCCTGTAAAAATAGACTTCTCCTTCAGGGATCAGTTGAGTATCACCCTGAATAGCGTACAGTTTAGTTTTAGTGTTTAGGTATTGGCTGGCAAAATATCTAGATGCAATCACATACTGTATGTAGTGTAAAAATGGGGTCGCTGAAAGCCCATGGTGACTGTACGGTGTTCATGAATTCATTCATGAATTTCACAGCTTTCAGTAGTACGGTGTTAATTTTTACAACTAGTCATTTAGAGCTTAAACATGTAGTATTTGAGATGTACAGTATGTTATAGAGTGTTTACAACATAGATTTTGTGCCTATGTAGGTCAGCTGAGCTAGATTTGGAGTTGTCAGCTTTCTGCAGTCTAAATAGGTCATGCTAACGAGGAGGTTTTTTTTGACAAGCCTCTCATACTCCATCAGTTCTCACCGCAAAACAATCTCAAGATTGGTGGTTATGTAAAACACTCTGACTCCAGCTTTAAGCTGCAATGTTGAATTATCACAAACGATATTACAATCACTTTTGTCAACTAATATAAATATATGAAGCAAGAGAAGGGCAATATTGTGTGTAACAAATTCCATTTAAGTGCAATTATGCATGCATATGCATTGAGAGCTAAATATGCAGCAATATACGGTAGCTTTAGAGAAATCTAAATGAAGCGAAGAATGTGTGACAACTGGAATCTGCAGTGCTGTGTATGAAGAACTTCACAGCACGATTATTAACCCAGAAAGCATAAATATAGATGAGAGCCCAAGGAGACAATATGAACCTAATGCATCATTGCACCAGTTCCGCAGTGATTTTCTCACATGCCCACATAAAAAATCTAGGTGTAAGATTGTGATGAAAGTGCAATGTCTGCAACTTTGGCTGCCATGATGCAATAGTGGGCTTCCTGTCCTCAATTTAGGAGCCACAGGTTACAAAAAACATGTGTAGATCCACAGGTATATATACATATGTGCAGCGTTTATGTATTCAGCAAGTTCTCTGCTGGTTCTTCACACCGTCAACATGGCTCCCAGAGGTATGATCACCGTGACAACCATTCTCCTCTGCTTCATACTGGGCCTGCTCAGTCCGGCTCCAGCTGCCTGTAAGTTTATTTCATCAAATTTTGTCAATCGGATTAAAATACAGTAGATATTTCATCAGGACCCTAAGCTGAACTGAACAGTAAATCATGTGGTGTGTGTTTGTGTGTGTGTGTGTGTGTATGTTTGCAGTAGGTTCCCATATGGGCAAAGCCTGTTGTACAAGATACAATAGGAAGCCAGTACCGTTCCAGCGTATAAAAGGCTACAGAGAACAAACAACCACGGAAAACTGCCGCATCGAGGCGATCATGTAAGACTCTCTCCAACAAAACTACAACCCTGCCAGTCCCAATCTGAATCGCTGACTATGATATTTGAATTTCATGGTCTCAAAAATAAGAAATAATAACAAGAAAATCAAAACATTAAAATAAGCAGGCAGCTCAAATAAAATCAGGATATGCTTTCTGATAAAAGTGTGTTTTTAAAAGAGACATAAAAGAAGACACTGAATTTCCTCAGGCAGATTGTTCTAGAGCCTCTGGGCCCTGACATCAAAGTTCTGTCCCCTTTAGTTTTCAGCCTGGATTCAGGAAGAGACAGGAGACCGCTACCCAAAGATCTCAAACTATGCAAAGGCAGAAATTAAAAGATACAAACCATAATCCAGAGCCTTAAAAGTAATCAATAAGATCTTAAAATCAAACCTAAAATAAACAGGTACCCAATGTAAAGAGGCTAAAAGTTTTTTGAATTTAGACTAGAGAAGAATGTCAGACTTTTATGACAGACGCTGGTGAAGACTAACTGATTTCACTGTTTGGACTTATTAAATATATATATAAAAGATGCTTGTAATTGTTTTGTGGAAAGCAGCACTAAGGTTTCGTAGACTTTCTTGCCATAAAAATAAGCCACTGAGCATTCTGCTGTCTGACTTTCATAACTGATCAAAGCAGCTGTTTGGTCTGCCCCATATCTTTGTGATATGTGTGTGTTTGTTATTTGTTTGAAGCTGTCTAATCTTTAAGATTGACAAAATCCAACTACACAACAAATCTGTGCATCAAACCTGCATATATTTTTTTTATTGTACTGACTGAAATGTGTCAAAAAGTGTACCAAAAAAGTACTGAAAGCTAGGACTGAATACTTGGTCAGATACTTATTCTTTTGATCAGATATGTCATGATTTAAATCATATATATTAGACTTTATTTTATTTCAAGTTTCTGCAAGGCTACATTGTGTTACTGTAAGATAAAGTAAAACACTATGCATTTGCAAGCATCTGTTAAACTTTGTTAAAAAAAACTTTGTTAAAAAAAAGAAAATTGCAGAAAAACTTTATATCTTTTATATTCCTCAATAAAAAAGTGTTGTTTTAATATATGTACTGGAACATAAATATATATATACCTATACTACTATACTAATGTATTATACTAATGTATATATAGTGCTCTTTATAAGTGTATGTGTGTCTGATAATGTGTCTCACTATTGTAGTTTCTACACGGTTAAGAAGATTGAGATATGTGCAACACAGAAGGATGAGTGGGTGAGGAAAACTCTGGAATTACTCAGGTATGAGACTAGTTTCGGTTTAGACATGGACGCTAAAACAGTGTTTTCTTTTGTTTGAGTAAAAACTCTTCTCTTCTTTATAGTTCCAAACTGAAGAAGATGTCCAAGGCTGACTCTGTTGCAGGTGAAACCAAGATGAGGAAAAGTGTAACTTCTTCATTTACTGATGGAAGTGGATCTTTCCTCCATACCACGGACACTTCCCCAAACAGCACTCAAAGCTTCTATTAGCAAAAACTAGGTTGTGGTGTTAGAGATTTGAAATTAAAATTTCAGTGAATGTTTGAGAGAGAATGGACCTATTGTAATCCAGTCATGTCGGGGATATTATCTCTGAAAAAGTAAAGAAAAGCTAACTACTTTTACTTGCCTAAACATCAGCATCAGCTCCCGAATACTCCATGTAATCACAAGTAGGGTGGGGACAATCAGAGGATCAGCTTTGAGATCATTGATGTACATTATGTGCTTAGTCACTTAACAAATCTTAACATAAACATCATAGTTTTTCTATGATTTTGTGACTATGTTGTTTCATCTCCTGCTATGAATCTCCTGCTTATTCAAGTTAATGTGCTAATATCCAATAATCCAATAAATTTACGTCATAGTGCTCTCCCATTGTCCACATTTATTTAATGAAACTACAACACAGGTGTGTCATGTAACTTTCCATGTAGCCAAGGCTAATTTATTGTTAAAATTTATTTTAGAGAGCAATTAGTGGTTTAAACCATCTTATAACATATGTTAAAATACCATGTAATGCCTGGATAGGAAAGCCCCTTTATCGTCACTAAAAGCTATATTTTCCCAACAATAGGCTCACAAACTGCGTAGACTGCTGCTCCGCATGGTGTATGTTTTAGTGGCGTGATGTGTGCCTGGTATACTTAGAAAAAGATTCTGCCAGCAAAACTGCTGGAAGGTGTCTGAAAACTTTTCAATGAGCTGTCCTGCCCCCCAGAGCTCATGCAAATGCATGACATGACTGGCAGAGAGGCAGTCTCTTGTGCTATTTCAGATCAGCACCCCAAGGGGTTGGTGCAGGAGTCAGACAAGGTGACTCCCTCAGTGACTCGCTCTTCTCATCCAAACTATCCTGAAGTAACTTCATGTCAACACTAGATGGCAGGGTCGATTTGTAAAAAATAACTGTGCCTCTGTTGGCTACATGATGAGGCCTTGATGCTCATTTGATTTAGCGCAGCAACCTTTGATTATAATAACAACAACAGATGTGGTAAGAGGACAAGAACATTTATTTAGTGTACAGCAAACATCAGATGATCAGCTGTATTACTCTGTATGCACATCATAGACGCATTTTGTATCTTTAATCTCTGTAAAGCTTTTTGTTAACTGAACACAGACAAGAAATGATAAAGACAATGAAAAGACAAATAAATAGAGCTAGAAATAAATATTAAATATGGCACACTAACATTAGAAAGCATTTTAAATATTTTAAATTAATGCAAGACAATTGTCTATAGATAGTCATAATGGCGAGGAGTGCTTTCTAAGGGCCGGAGGTTGTACTGTTCTTCTTTGCTTTGCGGGCCTGCCTGTAAAACACACAAAGAAGAGATAACAGTTCAAATAACAGTTTTTGCTGTCCCTGAGTATACCTGATATATCATGTCTGAAGCAACCAACTAGCAAAAATGGACACTACTGAGACTGACTGACATGACAAAGGCCTACTCACTCTAGCTCCTTAATCTTGTCAAACACCCAGTCCTGTTTCCAGTGGCTGCAGACTTCTCCCTGTGTGGTCTCAAATCTGGGTTATAAAAAAAAAAAGCTTAACCACAAGCACAAAGCCAATATTTACTGGATTTTCAAATATATAACATTTCTGACCATCACTCTGTTTGATAAAATAAGGAGGTGATTCTTACATGACAGCGCGGACACATGGGGGGTTCTTCCTCTGGATCCTGTAGCCCAAGATGGGAGCAGTGACATTCATGACACTGACCTCAGTGCAGCACTTGACTATCTTGATTTCTGTTTTTTTCACAAAACAAACAAGGACTGGTTATTATGAGCGTACATCTCTTTCATTTGCAACATAAAATCTGAATAAATTATTATTTTCATCAGAACCATTTCAAATCTGCACGGCAGGTTTGGTATGTGTGCTGTCCTGGAGCAGACTGTAATATGGTGCAGGATCTCTGACAGGCCACTTACCAGAAGCCGTTGCTGCCATTGCCAGAACCCCGGCGAGGAGAGCCAGGCATGCCAGTCTTCTGATGCACAGCTGCATGGTTACTGCGTGAGATGTTCCAGATGTTCTTTGCAGACGCTGACCGTTTGATCTGGCAGATGGAGACGACTTATCTTCTTGGACCAGACCGCTCGATTTTATACTATGAAAAGAGGAACCAGGGCAAACTGACCGGATGAACTGACTCTCAGGGCTTTCTACATAGAGTGTGTGTGGGTTCAGGGTGGGGGAAAGGATGTACTGACCAATTCCTTTTTTTTTTGTGATTTCATCATGACATTGACTGAGCTTTTTTTTTTTACTTTTTCTATTACATTTATGCCTGTCAGTAACAACTAACTTAAAGTTAAATAAAATACATTTATCTACAAATAACAAACAAATAAACCTAATATAGCAGATGTTCAGCAGGTGCATCCTATGTTTAGTATTGTTAAATGTATTCTGTGCGGGGTTTGCATATTCGTACCATGTTCTTGAGGGTTTCTTCACAGTGTTTCTTGGCGCAGCACAAAGACATGCAAGTTTAGGTTAACTGACAACTTTAATCGCCTGTGCATGGCAACATGACTAAAACTGTGTCTATAAATGTTGGCTGTGAGATAGACTGGGATCCTGTCCAAGGTGTTCCCACATTCTTACACAATGCATAATGGGATACATTCCAACCCCGAGTGCTAAACAGGGTAAGCTAGAATAGAGAACAGATAAATACATTGAAATGTGGGATTCATATTTTACCGTATTAACAGCAATGATCTTTATTAACCTGGCTAGTTAACTGTAATATCCATATTATGGTGTTTTAAATGATTTATATAAATCTTGCTGATTTCAGCAATTTAAAGTATACATCACGTGTCACTCTGCCCAATGCGTCATCTGTCTCTCTTTCTATCCCTCCTATTTCTCTGGTGCTGGGTGTCATGGTCGGTAAAATGGCAAGAAAAGGGGAAGGAAGGGGATCCTAAGGCTTTCCGAAGCATATTTCCAAACATCCTCCACCCAAATTTGGTCATTTGTCCTTGCATGCACCGTCATAATAGCTACATGTCTCAACTTGTTTGAGGGGACCTTTATAATTTAGACGATTCACAGAGCATAAAGGATCGACATTACTGTGCAAGTAGAAATGTATTCTTTAATATAATGAATATCTGATTTTCACTGCAGTTTACTTGCAGACAAAAAGCAACTGAATCTGCACTGACTGGGTTTTGCTTGCTTTAAAATAATCATTTAAACATTTTGAATGTGTGGCCCTTGCAAATGTCTATTAAAGTAACATTATGTAAGATTTGTTATTTAGTGCCGTTTGGTGCTCCTACCATTTCACAGTGTAATTCACAGCTGTGTAAATTAGGACAGTTGTACATGTGCATTTGTTTTGATTTTGTTACTTGTTACAACTTTGCTAAAACAACCAAACATCAAGCAAGTGCCACCCCACAATGGCGCTGTTCTCCACCAGCAGCAGCATAATGTTGCGTGCGGCGCAAGAGCACAAACCGATGTCCGAGTGAGTTATCTAGTAACTTGCTAACATCAACTAAATATTCATAGCTAGCAGATAAACTTGATAAAGTCTGTGAAACCTCTGGCTGATTTTGCTTGTGTCAAAAACTTCGCTAAAACAGGCAAACAAAGCAAGTGCAACAACACATGAGACAGCCAGCTAGCTACTAAGTTATTATTTACTAGTCCAACAGAAAGAACGCCAGCTCAGCATGTGTCCAGCATCCTTTCAGCTCTTTTAGCTCCCGTTGGCCAGTTTGCATATTTACTTATAATATATATACTATTGTCCAGTCTCTTGTGACAATGGTGACTCTATCTTTTTCTCTTCCTTGCTTCCTTCGACGTCTTCTTCAGTCTCTTCACAGCCTCTGCCATGATGTCCATACTGAGAATTCTGAGCTAGCTTCTTCCAAAAAAAACCCTACACTGTACATTAAATACTTTTTGCTTCTTCCTATAGCTTGCTTGCTGAAGAGTCGTGTTGGTGCCATATAAGCATTACACTATTGTTGTGATAAATGCAAGCTGCGAGCCTGGAGTGGCAATGACAGCGACGCCATTCACCCTATTACATGTAAGAGTACTACGGCTAGATTATTAATGGAAAAGTAATCGAAACCGAAATTCAGAACCTCTTACCAACATAACCGCCTTCACTTTCCATCAGTTGGGGAAACAACAGACATTTATTAACGGACACACAGTGGCCTACACATACATTTACTGGCAGACTGACAAGTTATGCTAATGCTTTTGCTTTCAGTGATCGCTCTCTCACATTTGCTCACTAACACACTCGCTAAACACACAAATTTGCACAGCCTTTCAAAGACCTAACTTTGGAGCTGTTACAACAGCACCTGTCATGTAGCTGTCTGTAGAAGAATGAGGAGAGGAAGCTAGCCTTGAGTGTTACCATGAGTGCACTGTATGCAAGTGAAACATTGATATCAATGACCATGTGAAATTTTCATTCAGCAGCGGCGATGTGCTTCTGTGCTCGCCACAGACTGTCTGGTGCTGCCCTCCGAGTTCAGCCTTTTGCTTTCTGTCAACATAACGCTATTTAGCAGTTAGATAATCGATTTTTGACATTTGTGAAAAATCCTACCTTTAATAGTTGTAATAATATTACTATTTTGGAAATAGTAATCTGTTACACTACTAGTTACTGGGAAAAGTAATATTATTACAGTAACGCGTAACTGAGTAACATATTACGGCCCACCACATTTCTCAGTGTTTTCAGAAAGCGGGAACCTCCAGGTCTGACAAGTGAGGCGAACGTGCAAGCCCCTCCTCTGGTTGCAAAAAGAAGTCCGGTGTAACACCAAAATCTGTGACCAGATTCTGTGACTACACCTAAACGACGATGTTTTCCTAACCATAACCAAGTACTTTTGGTGCCTAAACCCAACCAAACTGCAATTACTTCACATTGTCAACAAAGCCTCTGGCGCTTAACTTCCAATTTGGGTCACAGAATATGATAGGTTACACATTTTGGTGTCACACCAGTTCCATTACATTATTGTCTTCTTCAATACAGTAAGATGTTCACTTAGTAAATTATGGTCCAATTTAGAGAAAAATAGACCATAAAGCAGAGTATGCTTTAGGGCAGGACTATCTTGTGATTGACAAATCGATACCATAGTAACCTGTCAATCTGGCAAAGTGACTTGCATCCGGCAATGTATAAATTTAACCAGCGCCAGTGAAAAAGCTTATTAAGAGTTGGTTGTTCATTTTCTCTGGTGAGTACCTTTTGTTTATTGCCTGTTGTATGCTAGCCAAAATTTTGTTCGCAGTTAAAATTATAGTTAACATCAATTACAGATGCATCTTGCTAACCAAGCTAGCTAGCGTCACACCTGGAGCCACTGACTTCACCGTTTCGTCCAAATCTGATCACGTCCGGTGCCGCTGGTTGCAAAAAATCAACATGGTAGTTCCCTACCAGCCAATCTCAAGGCTTGAAAACGGTGACTACATCCACTTCTTTTATACAGTCTATGGTTTTCAGTGAATAATGATAAAAAAAGTTAATTCACAGTAATAATTAACTAAAACTGCAAATTGCAGAGACCCTGGGATTTTGTTGCTGAGTGTCAATGTCCAGTCTTTTAGCAAAAAGACAGATCTCATACTTTCTCAGTATGCTTTGATGAGGCCCAAAGCTTTATTTCTCAAAAAACCATGTCCTATTTCTGTCTTAAGAAGGTACTAAAGTATTTCTAATTAATTTTGCAGAAGCTTGCAGGTTTGAAATGGGTGGCCACTATGCCAAAGGACAAGATCTGCTGATAACAAAGAAAATAAAACCACAGCATACAGTAGTTTAGTCCTAAGGGACTAATCCTGTAAATTGTGTGTATGTCACAACAGAGACACGTTATATAGAACAAAAACATGGTTAAGACAAAATTTATAATGCTGAAAATGTGTTTTAACATCCATAAATGTCAGCACCTGGTGAGAAAATCACTGCCATTGTTATCGATCGACAATCCTTATTAACCCTTCATATATACATTATTATGATCTTTAAAGAAGAAGGAAAAATTGGCACTGACACCTACTCTACACTTCCTGACGTTTGTAGTCTAAATTTTGTTTGGTTTGTATCTCATCAACCTGTCTTTTGTCGTTGTTACAGAAGGACTATTTTTAGTTTGTGTGTTTGCAATTAATGTGCTTGATGATAACATTATCATACATGAGATACAATCCACAGTAAGATGAAGATTGACATGTGCTTAAACTCTTCAGAAAAACATCAGTATTTATATGTTGTAATAATGTAATGTAATTTAATGTAAAAATAATTTATATACATCTCAAAATGTATAGCTTTATACAGAGCACCCTTACCAATGTCAACTGATATTGAATTACAAATCCTTGACTTTTCTTTTTCTTTTTTTTTTGAATGAAACATTAGAATTCCATGTAAATAAAAAGCAGAAGCGATTACTCAAAATGAGGAAGGAAGCATGAACTGCACTTGCACATGCACTGTCTGATTCATGAATTGAAAAAGAAAGTTTCTTTTATGCAAATCATTCACACGATTTTATCTTCATCCTTATCAAAGCTGTTAATCTAACAGATTTAGTCAGATTATGACTGTAACTGTGACTGTATGAGGATTTATCAAAGTCAACAATCCAAGCACATTGCCACACTGGGTCATGACATCTCTCACTCATATCACTATCTTTATGGGCTCCAATTTACTACTAATGAGAAAACAATATAGTGCTACTTTGTAGAACAATCTAAAAGTGATTGCAGTTCAGCACTTAGTGGCACGACTATCAGTAAGTCATAATAACAGAATATCATTGAGACAGGATAATGCTAACTAAAGACAATTGACCCATGTGAAACTCGACTATAAGACATGGCTGAGACATGGCTGTAGAAGAGTTGAATTCCTGGTCTCATTTTAATTTTGTGTTCACTTTTCTAGATTTATAAGTATAATCTAATTTTGCTTAAGCATTGGCTCTCATGAGTGATAATCCACCATATGTTCTGCATTATGATATAAGTCTTATTAATCATTTCCTCAGTCATCAGTTGGTCTCATTTGGACTCATTCTCAAAAGTGAATGTGATGCACTCTCTCTGTGCTGTCTTTGGTGATGTACTACTTATTAAGGACTGTGGAGGCCAAGGATGGGAGTGAGTAAAACACAAAATGCTGCAGAAAAACAAAAACAAATATCACATGGCTCTCTTTACATTTGGAAAAAAGTCAACAACACCGACTTATTAATTACATTGTTTGTCCTGGCCTACAAAAATCACAGAGGCCTATACGTTTGAGCCTTTTCCAATCTAATCCTCCTCCTACTGACTGGAAACAACTTGTTGTGTAAGTGCCTTCAAAGACACTTACATATATGTATATATACTATTACAAAAATAGTTTGAATGTAACTGTTTTCTGATCTGCCATTGCTATGGGTAAAGTTTGGTTAGATTTAGGCCCAATAACTACATGGATAAAGCTGCAATAACTAAAGCTTAATAGCTAAAACAATGAGCTGAGACTCACTATAAAGCTCTGTACAGCCAAGGGGAGCTTCAGAATCAGGTTCACCACAATAAACAACCTTCATGTTTTCACATTATTTTCATATTGTCTGTTACGACTGACCTGTGGGCCGTTTATGTGTATATGGGATGTTGTGCTAGTGTCTTTTCCCTCTCTGCCCTAAGCAGGATCTTGCCAACCCCCCAGTGCTGCAGCCAGCAACCTGAGGAGCGCGGCTGATTTCCCTCTCCTAATGAGTGGAGAGTATAAGGGCTGGAGAAGGAAGCTGCTCTGGGTGAGAGTATGGTGGTCTACAGCGAAAGAGACAGTGTTACAGTGTGAGAGTGTCATGATTTACTGTTTTTGTTTGCACTGTGTGCTAGTGTGTGCTAGTTTGCTATCACTATTTTTGCATTTGTATTTATCAATTACCTTAGTTCCCTTTAAAAAGGACCGTTGTTGCTTGCTTCCCTTTTGGGAGTTGTTTTCTGTTGATTGTGCATTTAGAGACAATTTTCGTTAAATATTGTAAATAAACCCCTTTTTCTTAACTTACTCCTGTTTCCTTGTTTTCTTCTGCCTTGGAACAAATAAATTAATTGCACTTACCTCCTCCCCCGGGGCTTCAATCTGAGGTTCGTAACCTCAGATTACTACTCAACGCATTTCATTAAAAACATGATCAATTTCGATTATCCTAAAATCTTCAAATGAACCACAGTATCCCTAAACACAATACACTTTCTCCTGGTTACCTTTGACGTCAAACTTTACTCTTTCAGTAAGCTAACTAACTTCCATCCATCTTGAACTTTTCCTTTGCTTATAATAAGATGTATTTGCACATGCTAATGCCCTCTGTTGGACAACTGCACTTATTCCATGTAATATAAACTATTCCCTGAGAAGTGATTATAAATATTAAGTTAATTAAGTATTAAGTAATTATCTTAATATATATCATGCCACTTCTGCCTGATGTTGTGGTTGGGATTTGTTGGCACATAATTAGCATGACCAGATAACTCTTCTCTAACTGCTGTTTTCTCGGAACTGTTTAGGCAGCCATGATAAGCCACTGGGGAGGGACATTCCACTTTTTCAAAAGAACTGCCATGCTTTTCCTGTCATGCACAAAAGAACCTGTGACAACAAATCAGGTTATAGGTTACAGTGGAACAGAACAACATGGTTTAGTGTATCTGTGTATATATAGATCTGAGTTTGTATGTATAACCTCAAGAGTGCTTGCAAATGCCATGACACCAGCATACAGGAACGTACTGTCTCACTCTGCATGCACTGTGGTATCAAAAATTAGTATGGCAACATCATTAGCATAAAAATCACTCAACTCAAAAACCTAACTTTAGAAAGCTTCTGTGTGTTAGAAAGCGAGACTGATAATACTTGTACTGTAGGAGTGAACCCTAACCTTTGTAGTTGGTTACCTTAAGGCTTTTCCTTTGTGTGTCGTGCTTTAACATTCCTCAAGTTATGAGTCAGTGGATCTATTTTTATTTATGCCAAACCTAACAAAGAATCTCAACAGTTTTTCATCTTTTCATCAAGCTCAAGTGTTTGACACCCTTGTATCACAAGTAAAGTTGTAGTGGGTATTTCCCATGTAATAATTTGGATTCTAAATGTTATAATAATTCATACAAAGAACTCATAGTTCTGCAGTGGAAAATCTATTGACACCCTCAGACCACCAGTAATGAGTGAGATGAGGGGTAAAGACCACACTGGTGAGCTGTTGTGGGAGGAAATATATACTCTACTTTCCAGCCGTGTGCGTATCTGTAGGTGCAGCATGCTCTACTTTCAAGGCATAGATGAATGTGCTGATTGTGTTGGTGTGCTTAAAAAGGGCTTGAAGTACAGACTACACATCATATCTGTTTCAGCTACAGACACACAATGACAAGTCTCACCTTTGTCTCCGTTTTACTTCTAACTATTATGGTGTGCACCGCCTCAGCTCAAGGTAGGAACAATATGAAGATTTTTGTCTGTGTGTGTTTTGTTCATTTACGTAACATTTCACATAATGATATGATGTATTATTTCATCTTAGATTATGGAAAAGATGGTGATGATGATGATGTACTGTAATGTTTTTATCCTAAGGTGGGATAGGCAGTTGTTGTCGACAAATTACAACCACCCAAATCCACAGAGACCGGCTGAAGAGTTATTACAAACAATATAAACCATCATGCCCTCTTGAAGCAGTGGTGTAAGTCATCCATTCGGTCAATGTTGGATTTATGTGCATAGTGTCTCATAATAAGTTCATGGATCTTTTGATACCAAGTATACATGTATCCTGCGATGCACTGTATTTCAGAAGAATCCATATTCATTTTTATGTTTCGATCAATCATCTTTTCTTCAAAAATGTTGCAACGTGTTACTGAATGCGTCCTTTCTGTGTTTTTCAACAGATTTACCACGGTGCAAGGCAAGAGACTCTGTTCTGACCCCGGCAAAGTGTGGACAAAGACCAGCATGGCCTACATAGATGGAAAGAACTGGCAACTCCAACGAACAACACACAAGTGACACAATGTCCACCTTCACACAAAAAGCCAGCACTATTAAAACAAAAATGAAAAGCTCCAGATTTCTCTAATACTGTTCCACAGACTTTGAATGTTACGTTTGATATCATATTTTCTGCATGTTCTTTACCTCATTCTAATGAAGTGATTCGCCTTTGTTATGTATAGCTTTCAAATGTATTTTATATTTGTATTATTTGATGTGTAAATATATCATATATAAATACACATATACAGTATATATATAATGTAAATATATAAATGATGTGTTATTTACTGACATTAGCTAATAAAAATGGTCACAACATAATAGCTAAGTTTTGGTTATTGCGAGTCACAAAAGTGCATGTATGGAGAAAAGCTACAATCGATCTCTCAGCGTCTAGAAGCGACGTCTGCTTGTTTTCTTATCTCATCTCTTTATGTGCTTCATTTCCTTAAAATGACCACAGAGCAGAGAGACACAGATATTACCTCCATGGTAACATAGTTTCTATGAGCAGTGCCACTTTAAGTAAAGTGAAAGATGGTAGAGATTCTTAGAGGTTAACACGGTTCAAAAAATTCCATTAGGTTTATGAGAAAGTGAGCCCAAATCTAGTGGTGGAGGAAGAATTTATATTGGAGCCGATAAGCTTGTATATGGAAGGTTTTGTGTATTTCATGGCTAAAATATGCAACTTTTAAAGTTTCTTTTCAGACATGGAGGCATTTCAGATTTGACCTCTGGGACTAGGCAGATGGTGAAAAAAATTTCAGACTGTCAAATTAAACATTTTTCACTTTTTGCCAGGCATAAAGTTTTATTTGTGTTTTATTTTTTAACACTGTTATTACACATAGATTGCGCAGAACTGCTGTAATATTTTGTTAATGAAGTAGAACATGAACAAATGGGAAAACCCAGAATGAGCAAAGGGCAGTGCACTTGCACTGCATAGTACACTGTTTCTTGCAGCCACAATAGATAAGTTCGTAGCAGCTCTGTGAAGCTTCTGGAAGGGTGGTCAACAGTGGCTGCCATCCTGTTGCTTCCTTCGCCCAGGCCCAATGGCCTGATAGGTGGCCCATTTAAAGGATCACTTCAGAATTTTTAAACCTGGGCCCTATTTTCACATATTTTACATCCATTAACACCCCCCTTTTTTAAACAGAAACAAAAGTCTCGCAACAACTTGCCTCTCACAAGATTTCAGAGCGAGCATCATCCATGATGGGAGACTTCTGTTTCTGGTCAAAAGCAAGCGGTGTCACTGGGTGTTATTTGTAGGGATCATTTCCATGATGTTGTCAGACACCAGGTATAACAGTCTGTGCCGGTCGGTGGCAAAAAGAAGCACTTTTTCTGGATGTAATTTTGATGGGCTCAATTGCCCCAAAGAAATATGTTGCAGCCACTGCAAGTAGTAGTAAAACTACAGCCCTTGTTTAAGAATACAGAAATTACCAACACATTACTTTAATGTGTTGCTCTAGGACAGCCGAGTCTCTCATGCAGTTTTCTTTCCTCTTCCAACAAATGCTGACACATCCAGTAAGGGCATGGAACAATGGGAGAGTGGCACAGGTACTTGGATCCAGATTGTTGGCCACTTTATGAACCCCGTGTTTCTGAAACTGGTGCCTGGACCAAGATCGGTTCACATATCCTCTGGCTCGATCTTCCTAAACATGGCCACAGCCAGGACAACAATGTCAGTGTCTACAGTACAAATAGTCACTTTCTTACAAACCTACCGTACAGCATCTGATACATGCAGAAGCAAGAGTGTGTCTGCTACGTCATGCTAGCTTCAAAGTTGCATGTTTGCATATGCTATCTTCCCACAAAATTACTGTATTTCTGTTTTCTACATTTTTGATAGTGTGGCTAGCTAACATTAGCTCAGAATAGTAAGCTCTTACTTGATTTCTCAAATCATTTAATTCCATAAAACATATAGCCAAAATGTTGCGCAAAGCAGAATTACAGCAGAAAAACAGTGGCTTAGACACCTGTGAGAAAATAAACATTAAAACAAAAATGCAATTTTGGCAAAGATATACATGATTATTATGGAGTGATGGGGCAAAAACTGGAAAATTTACTTAGATTTATAACATGCTTTCCTGGTCTACCGACCACTCAAAACACTTTACCACATTTGTCACATTCACCCACACACATTTTCATACACCCAACGTATCTTGCCCAAGGACACTTTGAATGGACTGGAGTGAGCCAGGAATCAAACCAGCGACCCCTCGTTGGTTACTAAACAATCCACTTTATCACCTGAGCCACAGCTGCAATGCTGAGGTCAATGACCTCTCAAGGTCTCCAGGTCACCAGAGGTCACATACAAATTGCCTCCATATATGAAATACTCAAGTATACAGATACCAAATGCATGTACTTAAGTACATTAGCCTAGTAACTTATTATTATGTAAATGTAATATTTCACCACAGAGCAATATTATCAGGATCTTTAATTATGATCTTAGATAGATACAATAACAAGAGAAGAATAAAGTGTTGTTTGCTGTGGGTCTCTACGTCATTAATGTAAATATGTCTGATAACTTTAAAATCGAAAATATCTCCATCATCTGCTTGAAATACTGTAATTCCATAACATATCTCTTTAATATTAAATGTTGATTATGTACAGTACATTAATCATTTCCTTTATAATGCTTATAATATTGAATTTAATGTAAAGGCATAGTTTGCATTACAGAGTATTTAGGTTATTTTACCAACCCCAGGACAGTAGTAGATGATGCACGGTAGTAGTAATAAATGAAGTTGGATGCATATCTAAAAAAACCCCAGAGATTTAAAAACATATTGGAAAAGATACGTTGACAGTCTAACCAGCTGTTATGTCAAACACAACCTATAAATGGCACTCTCATGAAACATACTTAAAGCCACATGTCAGCCCCAACACAACATGTCCGACTCTCAAAAGTCTCCTCTAAACTCTTTGTCAAGACCATGGGTGAGTCACTCACAGTGTTTAATCATTTTCACCCATTCTGGTGGCCGCCATGTTCCATCTTCCCTCACTGTGATGGTGTGACAACATGGTGGGCTTCAGGCTGACCGGGTGGAAGCTTTAGGGGCTTTCAGTTCCAATGTTTCCATTTGGTAGTGCTAATACAATGATGTGTGATTTAAAAAAAAAAAAGGTATCAAACAAACTGTTGTTTACTTTGCGTAGGCAGAAAGAGAAAGTACAGCTCGGCATCGATGTGCTGCAGCTGGGGGAGGTTTGAGGGGCTGAGAGCGCTTGAGGTTGATGCAACGTTTGCTTGAACCACAGTGCAATGGGTTTTCCCCACCCCTCGCCTAGTGGCCCATCATTGTTGCCACTTGTAATGACTGAACTGTTGAATACATGAATGCAAGTCAATTACTACTACTGCTGTGACTAAATACAAGTATAACTTTAAGTGTGATCTAAATCTACAGGTAAAAACATTTTTGTATGTAGCAGTGTTTGCAAAGGATTGTGGGTCTTCCTCAACTCTGCTTTAAGTCTTAAGTCTTTATGCTATTTTACAAGGCACCTACACATGAGACGTTTGGGGTGGAAATATTCACAATTACTTTGTGTGTGTGTGGTTAAGTTTAGGCAAGTGGTGGTTAGGGTTCGGGGTAGGGTAAATCTCTAGGGAATTAATGTAAGTCAATATAATGTACACAAAAATGATGAAAACACAACTGTGTGTGTGTTTTGTGTGTGTGTGTGTGTGTGTGTGTGTGTGCGTGCGTGCTGTGTGTGTGTGTGTGTGTGTGTGTGTGTGTGGTAGGAAGATGACAATGAACATCTTCCTATGCCTTGGTGAGTTATGTTCTTCTGATGTTATGTGGAGCCGAGAAAAGCAGTGTGAAATTGCACTTTCCTCCTGATGGGTTAACCACAAAACACCTCTCCAGTGCACACACACACAGTCACACACAGTCACATGTCGTGTGACAAAGGTCCAACACTGTATGAACATAGAGGAATCATTTTGCCGTTAATAACTCAGCAGTCGCTTTTAGTGACTGTGAAAAAGACAAAAATATATTAGTACATACATATTATACATATACATGTACATACACATATACGTGTTCTGAGTAAACTATGGGTATTGCACAGGTGTGCTTTAGGCTGGCCACAAAAAAAGACCACTCGAAAATGTGCAGTTCCATCACACAGCACAATGCCACAGATGTCGCAAATTTTGAGGCCACCCAGACAGCTTCTGCAACAATCGGTTTGCATAACCAAAAAACATAGTCTGTACAAACTGGCAGCAACCATCTCAGGGAAGCTCATCTGCATGCTTGTCGTCCTCATCAGGGTCTCGACCTGACTGCAACTTCGCACAGCCACTGAAGAGGAGGGAACCAATATTTCACAGGCCACAATCTACAACCTGATCAACTCTATGTGAAGGAGATGTGTTGCACTGTGTGAGGCAAATGGTGGTCACACCAGTTACTGACAGACCCCCAATACAGTGAACCTGCATATTTTCGAGTGGCCTTTTATTGTGGCCAGCCTAAGGCACACCTGTGCAATACCCATGTTGTCTGATTCGCATCTTGATATGCCACACCTGTGAGGTGGATGGATTATCACGGCAA